TAATATTCTTTTCCGACATTATAACTCATTTGCATCTATTCTTTTACAGCCTACCTTATTCATTGTCCAACTGAAAATACTATGGCTTGGAGGGGACTGCAATAATTATAATGAAACAAAGTATATGATTTGTTGAATGTAAAACTGATGATGTGCTCTGCATATATTCACTCAATAAACAGTCATTTTAAAAAAATAAAGAAATACCATGGCTCGGGTAAGGCACATCTTAAGTTCTCAGACTGACATCTTTGTTCTTGAACACTTTAAAGGGATATGTGCAGCAGGTATGTCTAATGCAATACATCGTTTGATTTCTTGACTACTGCTTCCATAAGTGTTGATTGTGGATGCAAACAAAATGAAGCCTTTGACAACTTCTGTTTTGTCTTCATTTATCATAATGTTACTACTTATTGGTCCAGTTGTGAGAATTTTTGTTATCTTTATATTGAGGTGCAATCTATAGTGAAGGCTAGTCTTTGATCTTCATCAGTATGAAGTTAAATAAGCACAAAGTTTAAATAAGAATGACTATACAGTGTCGTGTCAGGCACATACATGGTAGGCACTGCATCAAGGAAAGGCCCCTCCGGTTCCCTCTCTTCCTAAAGTGGTAGACCCTGGAGACCAGACCAGGAGTTACAATCCATCCTAACCCCCACCAGGTCTCCCATGTGATCCTGGGATCTCTGACTCTTCATCTCAGCATCCCCATTTGTAGAAGACACTTCTGGACCCGGTGGCCTCTGAATGTCAATGGCCATACCTGCTCCAGCCTCCCTTCCCTCCATTCTTCCCCATTTCCAACCAACCTTCTAATATCATTTCCCCAAGGGCAGCAGGACTACTAGAAGCTGGAGTTGAGGTGGAGGAGACAGCTGGTGAGCAAGGGGTACTACCAAGCTTCCTGTAGCCTAACACTCAGCCCAGGCTCCCAAGGGTTAAAATGCAGAGCAAAGGGTGTGGGGGGGCTGGGGTCAGTGCTGGACAGACGGGCCTGGAGCCCAGGGCCTGCCTCCCCTCCCCCCACCCTGGGAACAGAGGACGCTTGTTTGGGCAGCGGCTGGCTTTGAGCTCACTTGGCCAAAGGAAGAGTGGGGTGGGGAGGAGAGAGGGCCCTGGAGAACTGAGGGACTCCCCTCTTTCCAGTCAGCAAGCCTAAGCCTGGTTCACCACTAGGCTACAGGATTCTCAGAGATCTTGTACCCTTCTGAACGGACTCCTTCCCCTTAATCTTCCCTTCTCTTCATTCCCTCACTCACTGCTGGGAGCAGAATTTAGATTTGGACAGGCCCCATTCTTTCCCCAATACAGCCTCTTTTTGGACACCTTATCCTATAGATGGGGAAATGCAGGCTAGTGGTTGGTGGCCACAAGGATATTGTTGGTCCCATGTCCCAGTCAGGCTCATGGCTCTCTGCAGGTTCCCCTCCCCAAGACCCTTCCTAAGCTGTAACACTACATGGTATTGAAAGGCTGGGCAGGCAAGGGGGTATTAAGCAGTCCACCTTGGAAACCTTAAGTCCTAAAGGACTAGAGAGTATGTGAAGGCGGGTTACACAAAGGGGTGAGGCTTAGTGTGTGGAGAAGCATGGTTGGAGGCTTGTGGGGGGTATGGGGGTGGCAGGAGGGGTACTGCTAGGGACAACAGGGAGGTATGAATGTTAGCATGAAACCTGGGGACAATCTGAGCTCCTGGTGGCCTCAGTCTACCACCACCTCACCAGTCTTTGGATCTCTGTCTGGGTCACCCCATCTCCTGCCCTACCCCAGTGAGCAAGTGGCCAGTGGGGAAGTAAGATACCCAACCAGCAACTGGACATGGGACAAGGAAATGAGCTCTCTCTACACCACTGTCCCTGCTACCCCTCCCTCTCAGTCACACCCATCTCCTTGTCATTCCTCAGATACACCACATCATTTTCTGCCTTTGCACAAGCTATGCCCTCCTCTATTGTTGTTGTGTGCCGTCCAGTTGGTTCCGACTCATAGCAACCCTGTATAGGGTTTCTGAGGAATGGCTGGTGAGTTTGATCACCGACCTTGCAGTTCAAAGCAACCTTGAAGTCTAGTGCTTATCCTATGGTGCCTGGAAGGTCCTTATCCCTGTGAACTGTGAAGACCCATTCTGGTCATCTCCTCCTCAAGGGCCCCCCAAGAGTCCCAGTCCCTGGCTCCATTTGTATACCTGTCTGCACTGTTTTCATGGCTCTGCTGGCCTCTTTCTACCCTGCAATGTGTTTGCTGGGTAGTCTCCTCCAGCCTTGGGGCTCTCTGAGGACAGGCATACTGAGTGCCTGGATCTGGGTCCCCAGTGCCCAGCATACAGTCAGATCTTTCCCTGAGCATCCTCACCTAGCCAGGTAATCAAGGAAGGCTCTTTAGGGCAGGGACAAGAGGAGAGCCATATTGTGATGGATCTTGGTCAGTTTCTCAGCAGCAAAAGCCACCCTGAAGGTTGCGGGGGCCAAACACACACACATGCCTGCTCTCTCCATCCTAACCACCTACTCCCAGCTTGACCCCATTCAAGGCACACACACCTCCTTCTTTTTCTAGCAACTGGGTTAGGTAGGGGCTCTTGGGAGATCATGCCCCTATTACTGGTGGAGAATTGAGGCACAGAGACCGGAAGTGGCCTGCCCAAGGTGACCAGAGTCTGAGGTCCAGGGCATAGGGGCTTACAGATTTGCAAAACTAGAGAGGTCTCAGGGTCAGTAAGGCAGGAGCCTTCATTTCATATATGGGAAAATCAAAGCACAGAGGGCAGAGGGTTCCAGATACAGGAGACTTCATTCCAAAGGGAAATGAGTTGGAAGCCCCCTGCCCCGCTGATGCACCCTCCTCCCCATGGTGTCTAGCCGATCTCACGCTTCCTCAGGAGGGGACGTCCCACAACCACCACCTGGCAGGAAAACAGACAAGGTGACCCCGGGAGGGGCACCCGCGGAAGGGCACCTGCGGAAGGGCACCCACGGAAGGGCTCCCGCGGAAGTAGGCTCAGGGCAGAGTCACCGCATGGCCTCGGTGTTTCCTTCTGTGGAATGGGGAACTCCGGGCCACAAGTGGTGAGAGGGCAACGTACTGAGAGGTCCAGGTAGTCGCACTGACCTGTTTGGAGCGAAGACTCCACGCGGGGACTCAGGGTCCCGGCGCCGCTACCGACTCACGCCGCCGCCTCCAACTCGCAGCCGCGGGCCAGGCGCGCCCACCCCGCGGGGTGCTTCCGCCCGCCCCACGTGACGCCCCGGGGAGGGGAGGGGAGGGCGAGGAAGGGGCAGGGACCCGCCCCGGACCCGCCCCTCGCCTTGTCTTGGTCTTTCAATCAGCTGGCTTGGCCCGCTTTCTGGACCGGTCCCTCTGTGCGTCAGCTCCTCGGCTGGTCGGTCTGTCTCCGGAGGCTCAGGTCGGTTCCACTGCTCCCGCCGCCGCAGAATCTCCACCTCTCCCCAAGTCTTCCTGCCTCTCTCCATCTCCACCCCCTCCTGGAGAGTCTGCCCCACTGGGAGAAGTGAGCTACAGCGATACCAGAGGTCCAGACCCCCATGGGTCCTTGAGGGGTGGTTGGAGGCAGATGACCATGGCCCCTGACCTGTTTCGGTAACTCGTTCCCCCACCACATTCTCCAAAGGTCTCCCACCTCTCTTTAGGCACCAAACCCCCCTTAGGCAGGATGATCATAGTACGCAAGGACCAGAACAGTTTGAGGTGCAGACACCCTGGCACTTTGGTTGGTCAAGAACAGATTCCTGGTTGTCCTAAGGAGCGCGTGCACACACATAGGTGAGGGCCAGAAGATAAGTAGCATTCCTAGGTCTTCCATCTAGAGCACCTCTGGTGCCAACCAAGCCAGAGACCATAACTTCTTTGGGCTTCTATTTCTCTAAATGCTTAATTGGGATATTTGGAAAAACAGACCTCACCAAGATGGGGGCCCTGAAAGTAGAAAAGACTCATTAATTTCAGCACCTAATACATTCCAGGTTCAGTGCTGAGCAATTTACTCCTTTTATCTCATTCTTCACACCTCTGCTTGAAGGCAACTAACATTCCAGGTTACCATTTAAAACACAGAGCCTCCAAGAAGTTCTAAGACTTGCCCAAGGTGATACAGTCTTGGTGAGTTCCAGAATTTCCTGCTCACTCCCACTGGCCATTCACCCTGCCCCTCTGGAAAAGAGTTGACTCTTAATAGATGGTAACGTCCAGAAAATAGGCTTCCAGGGAATGGAGACCTGGGCCAGATCTTGGGGGTAACTTCCCAGCCACAAGTTCAAATGTAGACCAAAACACAGGAAGGTGATGGGACAGGTCCCTCTCTCCGCTGGACCTGACAAGGGAGTGTCCCTGGGGCAGTAGAGGGCGCCTGGGAGCCACATAGAATGGGAGGACCAAGCCTCACTCAAGACCTCAGGGTAGCTGAGCTGGCGCTGACTAGAGAGTGGGAGCCCCTTGCTTTCTGTTAACAGACTTGAGGGTCATCCAACTGACTTGAGAGGCCCTGATCCCGAGATTCTGATGGCCTGTACTCACAACCCTCTGCCTCCAGGACCTGCGGCCCCATCCTCAACTCTAGGCTACACAGCCCTGGGGCCTGAGACCCAAGAAATCTCTCCCCTCCTTTCTTCCGTGACTGGAGGAGAGTGTCCGACCCACAGCCATAGATCATACGTTAGAACCCTGTCCCGGGACCTCTGGCCAGGGTGGTTCCTTTTAGTTCAGTGAAGGTAACCAAAAAGCTGTGGTGAATAGCAAAATGAATGCACAAGTACACGTGGAGGCAGGAAAAGAAAACTAATAAACACAGGGAGAAAGGAAGAGATGATGGACAGAAGAGGGGTGACAAACCCTCATACGGTGAAATGAAGGGATGCTTAAAGGTGCAAAGGCCAGGCAACCACTAATAAAATGAAAAAAATTAACTGTGCGCTGAAAAGCTCAAGGACGGCGGGTCGTGCCCACGGCAGGTGAGAAGCAGGCACTGTGATAAGCCGGCAGAGGCTGTGGGATCGTTTATTGGGGCTGTCTGTGTCCAGGCCAGGGCGTCCCGCCCACCTGGGTCCAAGCCCAACGCCCCCAGGAAGTGCGGAGAGCGGAGGAAGGGGAGGATGCGGAAGGATCCACTACTCCCGGGATCGATTCCCAGATCCTGTCTCGGTCCCTGCGATGGTGCTGCGCTCAAGTGAGAGAGGTGTCGTCGTCACTGCCCTCGCCTCCAGCACCACCAGTGCGCTCTTCCCGGCTCTCGGCTACTGCGCTCTCGTCGATGTTCTCCAGCGAGTCCGCGTGCTGCACCGACAGCTCGGACAGAGCCAGGCTGGGCAATAGGCTCTGCTCAGGATGTAACCAGGGCTTGAAGTGTGGCTGGTGCTTCTGTTTCCACTCAGGGTACTTGACGCACGCCTTGTACATCTTCTTCATGGCCTGCGGACCCGCCACCCCACCGTGTTAGGGGGTGCTGAGGCACAGGAAGAGGTCTCCGTGACCCCGTCCTGCACTTCACAGCGGCCCAGCCTCCAACTTACAGGCTCCAGCCTGGAAAGGCAATTTCCTAACCCTGCCCCTCAGCCCTAATCCCGCCCCTTACACTCTATCCTTGACTCCACCCTCTTGTCCCTTAGCCCTTCCCCCAGTTCCATACACCAGAAGTCCAAGGCCACTCACCTTGGGAGCCAGGAACTGAGAAGATTTATTCACCACCCACTTGGGTAAGGAACCTAAGGGGGCAGGGAATGGTAGTGGGGAGAGAAGGGAGAAAGGGGCGTCAGGGACCTAGACCCCCACCAAACACACACAGCAACCCCCATCCTGCAGCCTGGGGTTCCAGGGAGGCCACCTTCTCCATGCAGGTGGTGGTGGTGTGTATGTGTGTGTGAAAGAGGGAGAAATAGAGCAAGGCCCATGAGACTTCATTAGCCTCACTCCCTCTTTCCACCTCAGACCAAGAGCCTGGGGCTCAACTCTGTCCCAATCCCCTGTCCTTGTGCTGAGCCCCAGAAGTCTGCAGGAAAGAAAATGACAGGGTCCCAAGTGACCACAGGCTACATGTGGGTTGAAGTCCTGATTCAGCTCTGGCCTGTCACTTTCCTCAGCTCACACTGACAACCCTTCTCATAACCAACCCCTCCCCAATGCTCAGCCCCTCGTCTGCCTGTCCTTCCAAGCCTCCTTCCCCAGGAAGCTGCTCTGACCCTACAGGCCTCTTGGCTGAGCATCCCAGTCAGGCATGACCCATGGTCCACAGCCCAGCTCTCCACCTTGTCTTATTCCCTTGCTTTGCCTTTGACACTTGATATACCCAATGATGCTCCAGGAACAGGCTGGGACCTGGGTCACTTGGCCCTGAGAGGATTGGGGCAAACCCAGGCAAAGATGTTCAGAGCTTACCCATCCTGTGGTTATCTGTTCATTCACTCATTCACTCACTCCACATCCACTCAATGACACCATCCCTCGACAAGCCCTGGGGACCCCCAGAGTGCTAAATGCTCTTCTAGAGGGGGATGGGCCCACAGAGTAGGGAGCCAGTGACACCCCTGAGGGAACAAGGATAGAAGTAACATTTGAAGCAGAGCCAGTCTGACAGAGAAAGGGGGAGCTGTTTCTAGGCTGAGGGAAGGGGCTGCTTGTACAGGGAGGTAGGGAGTGTAGGGTTGCGATGATGAGGGGCTGGGGAGGGGACTTAGACTTTACTCTGAGGACAATGAGGTGTCATCAGAAGGATTTTTAAGCAGTGTCAAGTCATGGGGAGACAGGTGTTTTAGGAAACTTATTCTGATGGCTGGGATAGACAAATACCGTGGTCATGAATATGGAGAGAAATGGCAGCAATTCAGGAAGTAGAATCAGAAAGAACTCATGACTGGATTTGGAAGCTGAGGAAGAGGAAGAAGCTCCAGAAGACACCCAGGCTCCTAGTAGGTGCGTCAGAAGGAGGGGTGGGTCAGTGGGGAGACACGGAGTCTAAGGTGCCTGGAAGTATCTAGAAAGCCAATGGCCACACAGTTATGGACCTCAGGAGAGAGACATAGTGGTCATCTGGCCACAAAAGTCAGGGGAATAGCTGAATCCTTCCAAGGGAGAGAGGACTGAGGCCTGGAAAGCCCCAGACCTCAAGGATGGACAGAGGATGGTAACCAGCAAAACTGACAAGGTGAGAGCAGCCAGGGAGCGGGGAGCAAATCAGAGCATGGGATGTGGGGGGGTCCAGGAAGAGAGACAGCACCGAGCTTGTCAGTGGAGCCATGGTCGCCACTCAGACCATACTTTTCAAACCTTGATTCAAATGATGTTTAGGATAGAGATGCCCCAAAATAAAACAGCCCCAAACAGATACCTTCCTGGATCCCTAATGGATTAAGCCCCATGCTCTGCGGTACAGGGAAGGATCCCATGACAGGCTTCCAGGGCCAAGCCCTCACCTTTGGGGTCTACCTGGGCCAGGTAGGTGATGACGCAGCTCTTGGGCCCCGTGCTCTGGATGAGGTAGCCCGTCTGGATGGACACAGCTCGGACCAAGTCTTTCCGAGGAGGGTATTTCTGGGGATGGAAGGCATAGGGAGGTGAGACTCTGGGTGGGGGCAAAGATGGTATCTTTGTGAGTACACACACACACACACACACACACACACACACATATTGGTTGACTCATAGCCCCTAGCATCTGTTGCAGGCCAGACCTATTGCTGGTGTGAGGACCAAGAAAAATCAGGCTAGGTAATGCTTGCCCTTCTCTAGGCTTTCCCCATTCAGCTCAAGGAAGCCTCCAGTCTGGGGTCAGGGCTCACAAGAATCTCACACACATGGGCACATGTGTGGGCACTCGCAGACACACATACTCACCCTCATCCAAGTCAGCCAACCCTACCTGTCCTCCCTGCCCATGGCCTGAACCAGAGGGCCCTGTTGCTCCCCTCTTTCCCAACCAGCCCTGAACCAGAGCGCATGGCCAAAGTCAGCCCACCCCAACTACTTGCCCACAGTGATGGCCTATACTGCCTTCTCCTGACCTGCCTGAGAGTTCCAGTGGGGAGACAGGAGACAAAGTCTCACTGTAAGCAGGGAACAGGCCTGGAATCATAGGCAAGTCCAAGCAGTCATGGGCCTCTACCAGGCTCCACCAGCTTCCCCTGCACCCCAGCAGGGAGGGCAGGGCAACTCACAGGATGTTTGACTGAGTAGTTCATAATGATATAATCAGCACCCATGGGGAGCCAGGAACGGAGGGTGATGACGTCACGGTTCTTCAGGGGCTTTGGACACCTCCCTGTGGAAGGCAAGGGACAGTGTCAGCCAGACCAGGGGCCCATCTGCTCACAAGCTACCTGGGAGTGTGGAGAGTCCTGGACAGGGGAGCAGAGGGCAGAGCTAACTGCCAGGGTCCCCCTCTACCAAGCCATAGTTCCAGAAGCCTCCTCCCTAGTCTCTAGCCCTCCCTTCTCCTGACCACCTTTCTGGCCTGTTTGTATGTGTGAGTGTGAGTGTGAGAGGCCAACAGTATTACTGTGAGTGTACATAACTGTGTGCACATGTGTTAGTTGTGTGTGTATTCATGAACATGTGAGCACGTGTGTGTGTGTGTGTGTGTGTGTGTGTGTGTGTGTGTGTGTGTGTGTGAGCAAGCACAGGGATGTCAGAGAGTGTGGCTGGGCCCTCCCCCTGGAAAGTCCCGAGGGAGTGACCACAAGAGGAAAGGTGGGAGGAGGTGGCTCAGTGTGGGGCTGGGATGAGCATGCTGACCCTACTCACAAGAGTAATAGCCCACATCAGCATTGACTGTCAAGCGGGCAATGTCGAAAGTCTCAATGACGTTGTTGTCCCACTTCTTTCGGTACTCGATGTCATGTAAAACGTCATAGAGTGTCTCGGCTGGCACATCGCGGCACTCCATCCGGCACTGCAGACAGACACATGGGTTGTCAGAGTTACACAGGGCTGAAATACGAGGTATCTGGGAGTGATCAGAGCCCTGGCCAGGGGACTAGTAGACAGAGAGGTGAGGAGGAGGAAAGTGAGGAAGAGAAAAAGAGGGAGGTGCGGAGGCTTCTGAAGCCAGCATGGACTCACCTGTTTCCACAAACCCTGTCTAGTCCCTATCACAGAGGTGGGGAACGTCCTACCCTGCCAAAGCAACTGCAGTCCCAGCTACCATGTTGTTGCTGGTAAGTGCCATTGAGTAGGTTCCCACTCATAGCTACCCCGTATAGGGTTTCTGAGGAGTGCCTGGTGAGTTTTAACTGCTGACTTATCAGTTCAAACCGACCTTGAGGTCAAGGGCTTATTCTATGGCACCACACCAGGACTCAACCATCACATTGTTATTGTTAAGTGCCGTTAAGTTGGTTCTGACCCACAGCGACCCTGTACAGGATTTCATCACATTGTTGCTGTTCAGTGCCGTTGAGTTGGTTCTGACCCATAGTGACCCTGTGTAAGGTTTCCGAGGGAGGGCTGGTAAGCTTGAACTGCCGACCTTGCGGTTCAAACCAACTTTGCAGTCCTGTGCGTTAACCCACAGCACCAAACCAGGACTCCTTCATCGCATTGTTGTTGTTGTTGTTATGTGCTATGGAGTCGGTTCCGACTCACAATGAAATGACCCTGTATAGAATTTCTGAGGCTGTAAATCTTTACGGGAGCAGAAAGCCTCATTTTTCTCCCACAGAACAGCTGGTAGTTTCGAACTACTGGCCTTAAGGTTCGCAGCCCGATTCGTAACCACTACACTACCAGAGCTTCTTTTCATCGCTTTAGGAGTGAGTTAATTAAATGTTTGACCAAATACAGCAGGGTAATTTTTAAGCTGATAGTTTTGTATGGTCCACAAATAATGATACAATTTTTGCAGAAAAGTTTCCCCACCCCTGCCCTATCAGAAGCCACCTATGCCAGAAGACAGGTCCTGTGTCCAGAGACCATCCCCTTAATCCCCAATACCACCTCCTCCCCAATTCTGCCCAGTATCTTCCTCCAGAAATTGCCTAACCAGACCTTCTAGGCTCCCATATGCCAAGTCTCTATATCTGTGCCTCCCTCCTCCACTATGAGCTCCTTGTGGGCAGAAGAGGCTCTTGGCAGATTCAGCACAGAGCCTGGCATAAGCAAAAGCTAAATGAAAACATGAATGAACAAAGAAGTAAACCAACGAATGCCTAAGCGGGATATTTCTTTCTTTCCTTGGTCTTTATCACCTGGTCATACTACTTGCCTCTTTTTTTCTTTTTTTTTTTCATTCAACAAACATCTTTGGATTTTTACTGTTTGAGAGCCTTGCCTTCTAAAAGCTGTGTAGGGGAGAAAACAGCTGAGCATGCTTTACCTGACTCTCACAACAACTCTGTCAGACAAGACATCTCAGGAAGAACTGAAGGCTCAATCACTTGCCTGAAGTCACCCAGCTGGTAAGTAGCCGAACTGTGACTTAATCCAGACCACGTATCTGGAAAGCAAGTGAAAACAAGCCAGGTGTCCCCTAGATTTGTATTCAGCAAGATACAACTCAATCAGTGTTCTTACTCTGTGATTCTTTTTTTCACTCAGGAGCCCAACCACCAGGGTCAGGTTTCCCTCAACAAATGTAGTTTCTTGTTTAAAAAGGTCTTCCAGAACTGAGTCTTAAGAAGATGCCAAGGGAACCCCAGACATGCTGCTTTTTTTTCACCAGGAGATACATCTGATGGAGGGTCCCATTGTCTCCCTCTAGCCCAAGGGTAGGTCTTGGCACCCCCAGTGACAATGTGATGCCACAAGAAGGCCATCATTGGTTATTCTAGGTACCAGTGAATTCATCAAGCCTTGCAAATAACTTCTCTATACAGAAAATACAGGGAGCAGAAGAAGAACAAGCTAAGGGACAGCAGAAGAATACAACCAGACCTAGTCAGATAGGGAGACGTTCTGAAGGACCACTGGCTCCGTTTCTTCTCTGGGTCAAAGTCAAACAGAAGGGACTGCAAGGCTTACAGGCCACAACAATCAGATGCTAAGTGTGGTCCAGGACTGCATACTGACTGGTTTGGACACACAGCTACATGGGACATTTTCCCATTTGAGGGCAATTGGGAAAATATGAATATAGTCTGAGGATTAGCTGCACTGAAACTTTACTGAAATAAAATGGCAGGGGAGGAAAGCAGGTTAAAAAATGGAATACACAGTATTGTCTCATTGTGGGGGGAAATACACTGCATATGCATAGAAAGATATCAGAAAACATAAGCTATAGGATAAGCACTGGACTGCGAACCTCAAGGTCACCAGTTCATGTCCACCAGCCACTCAACAGGACAAAGATGAGGCTTTCTGCTCCTGCAAAGATTTACAGCCTCAGAAACCCTATACATATTCAGGGTCACTATGAGTAGGAACTGACTCAACAGCATTTAACAACAAACAAGGTGTTAACTGTGGCAGTCTCTAAATGGTAAGACTGTGGTGGCTTTATTTTCTCTTTTTGCTTATCTGTTTCTAAAGTTCTACAATGCACAATAACTGCTTCTTCAATAATGAAAAAAAAAAAAAATGTACATTAGAAGGTCCCCTAGAGATACTTCAGAGTTGCACTCCCCACCACATGCCACACACTGTACTAAGTGCTTTAGACACATTACCACATTTTACTCTTCCCGCAATGCTCTGAGGTAATAACCCCATTTCAGAATGATAAAAACTCAAGTTCCAGGAGAGCCTCTGGTCTGCAAAGACTCATTGTGTGACCCTAAAAAGTCACCATCCCTCTTTGCCCCTATTTGTTTTTCTGCTCCATGAGAGGATGTGATGAGATCCAATCATTTCACACCCCCACCCACTATTTTAGCTTTGTACTGAGCACAGAAGAGTCAGAGATGAATCTGAGGGCCATCCCTGAGAAGGTTCCAGATGAGGCTGGAGACCAAGTTGGAAATGGGGAGATGCCCTAAACTGTTCAGTGGGTGCACAGAGGAGGAGGTCAACTTTACAGGGTGGGTGAGGAGATCAGGTTTCATAGAGAAGTTCAGTCTACAAGGTAAATGTTTACCAGATGGCCCTGGCAGTGAGAGAAGCAGGGGCAAAGGTACAGAGTGTGACTTAGCAAGGAAATGGAATCGAGTTTTGGCTGGCTGGAGTTTTTCTGCTGTGGTGTAGCCTGATACACTCCTCAATTATTGACAGTCTCATCTGACATTTTGAACAATAGTAAAAAAAACTACCTTACTGCTGATGCATTAACAACGTATGTCTGGCAGTTGCCAATGCCAGGGTGGGAGGCAACAGTAATGCTATCTATGATGGTTAAGGTTATGCATCGCCTTGGCCAGGCCATGATTTTCAGTGGTTTGGTAGTTATGTGGGGATGTAGTCAGCCTCCATTTTGATCCAATGAGGTCACCCCCTATTTTTACATAGCAACCAGGTCTTTAGAACCTAACCATGTTGATAAGTGAGGACTCGTTGCACTTAAAGATACCTGATTTTAAGACTTCTGGAGAAACAGTTGATTCCAGGACTAAGTTAAAGTATAAGGTGAGCCTGGAAGTAAGGAAGTACTCAAAGAATGATAGGAGCCTTATTCAACAGACACAGAAGCTGGTGTTTGAAGGTCTCCCACTAGGAGGGTGACCAACTCATCTAGGTTTTCCTGGTACTTTCCCAGTTTTAGTATTGAAAGTCCCACAACCTGAGAAACCCCTCAGTCTTGGGTAAGCTAGGACAGTAGTTCAGTGTACCATAGGCCAAATCTAGAACAATCTGTGTATTAAAATAAATGATAGTGGAACTTCCAACAAGATGGCGACCAAGGCAGATGCACTATATGGACTCTACAACAAAGATACAAGAGACAAAACAAAACAGACACAGATGAAAATTGTGGCATCCTGAACTTCAGAAGAAAATTTAGAGAGGTGGATGGAGTACTTGCTGGGAGGACTGACCAAGCAGGAATGGAGAGAGGGGGAGAGTGACTGGTGAATGGCTGGCCAGATGTAGCCTGACCACAATGTGAGCAGCTTTGGCAGCAGAGGAAAGCCTGGCAAAGCAGATTCATGTGGACATTGGAAAAGATTTCTTCTGTACCCCCCACATTCCCCTGGTGGCCAGATCCCACCCTCATTCACCCCCAACACAGATCCTGCTCTCAGGTAGTTCGGACTCATGCCAGTGTGAGTCAGGGGCTGCCTACACCACTTTGGTGTCTGGATTCAGGTGGACTCGGCTCCAGACCTACAAAACCTGCAGAGCCACCAGACCAGCATTTAACTAACCAGTCAGCCTGCCCCCAGCTTCCCTGTGGTCCTAATAGACCCATAAACTAGCTCCATCAAGGGCCCCCATGAACTACTTCCAGATTGAATAATGCCAAGGCCAGTAGGAACTCCAGCTAGGAGTTCTGCTGCCATATCCTTTCCACAACCACCTCATGTGTTCCTTGGATTGCAGAAGCCCCCCAGAGGTTTCTCCCCTCCGAGTCCAACAACTGCAACGTTTGCTTTTATAAATACAGCAACCTCACAATGCCCCAGAGACAACAGACAATTTTAGCTCACATGAAGAAACAAGAGAATAGCTCAAACAAATGACCAAGATGCAGAGCCAGAAAGTGTTTCTGAAGAAGATGTAATGGAATTAACTGAAAAAGAATTCTACAGAATGTTAATTAAGCATCTCACGGCACATAACAACAACAACAACAATGGATCGATAGAAAGATTGGGGGAAGCAAGGAGAACACAAAAACTTTATAAGAATTCAGGAAACAATTCAAGAACAAACAGACAAAATAAATGCAAATTTTGTAGTAATACAAAACCTGCAATTAAAAATTCAGGGATTAGTACTAATATCTCAGAAATGGACAATACAATGAAATGGCAAAGGAGTACATGAGAAGCAATTGGAGCCCAAATTATTAAACTTTAA